TATGAATTCAGCAAGTCGGTATGTATTGTATGCAGTGTGTAACGTTTAGTCTCATGATCTTTCACTAGCCAGTCACAACTTTCCTGATAAACATTTCCACAAGAGTCAATGTAAAAATGACTAAAGCCAAGAAACAAGCTCTGTATTTTCCAAAACGACAGACTTTCTCCAACCATACACAAAGCCTAGGACAAAATGTGTTGGAAAAAGTACAAAAATAAACAAAGGAAAGTGTAGTCGTGATGGATGAAAAGCTGGGAGCTCATGGATAATAAGGGACGCAGGGATAGTGGCATCGGCTTACTATTAATAATTGATGTCAGAGCCGACTATCGTTGATGGATTAGTTAGGTCTGCCCCACTTCCAGACTTGTAGGTAGGACAACCTGAGGAAGGGGAGCTAGATCTGGGCTTCGATCAGAAATAAGACACTAGAACCTGTGTGTTATTCAGGAACGCCTGGAAGTTCACTGATCCATTTGTTTCTCTCCTCCTTTGTTTTTCTTGACCATCAAGTGTGTCAAAGATGCTCATCAACAATACCGTCAATAAATAATCATGCCAGCTCGGATTAGAGCACATCCAATCTCCCTTCCCCTCTTTTTCTGGCTTTCTTTTAACTTCTTCTTCCACCTTTCCTTCCACTGTCGGCTCTTGTCTCATCTGTGAGACAGCATCTATAAGGTCCCAGCTGAGCTCTGACTGAAGATCATTTCTGGGTTGAATTAGTGTGAAATAGACACACGGAATAGGTAGACTAAGCATGACATTGAGCTGGGATGAGAGAGAATGGGAGTGATAGGCCCCCAGGCGTTGCTACGGAGTGGAAGGGCTTAAATTTATGCTTCAGATGCACTTAAGATCAATGATAATTTAACCAGCTGTACGACCTAATGGTACCTAGTTTATCAAGTGTGAATAAGATGTGATTAAACCATCTCAGCAGCTCAGTGAGCGTGACATCTCTGTCGCGTATCATCCCCTCTCCTCTACCGGTTTATCTCTGCGGTCGCTTTTCAAATGCCCCAAAAGAATATTTCAAACAAATTGGATTAACACTGTCAAGAACGAGCCGCTGAAGGCTGAGTATCTAGTTTAGAGATTTCATACTGACAAAAGTCATCTGCAGCTCTTTTGTCTTTATATTTCGCTTGAAAGAAGTCAGACTTTTCCTCTCACCTGTTAAAGTGCTCTTCAGCTTACCAGGGTTTAGAATGCAGATTTAACTCATTTGGATTTAATAACAATCGCACAGCTCTGCCATGTTGTTTGATTATAAACAAGCTAAAGGTTAACACATGATCTGGAACAACAGGGGCAAGAACAAGAACAAAATTCCCACTGGCCAGGACATTCCATACTTCACAGGAACTATTGGGAAATCCTCACAGGTCAGTCCTACGGCAGAGTTTGTATAATAATGGCTGCACACCAAACAGGGAACGAGTTCTGACCAGGTAAATGTGTCAAGAACAAACTGCAAGAACTCCCAACCTAGAGCTGCAAGAAGACAATTTAAAGGGGTAGTATTAAGTGTTTTCCAGGCATATAGTGCCATTTTAGAGTACAATCAAGTAGCTATGTTAACTTCAGTTGTTATAAAAATGCTACATATACTAAATATAGCTTAAAAGAAATTTAACTTTTATATTTAATGCCTTAAAATTGGACCTCTGTCTCTTTAAAATCTCCTGCCCTTTCTGAAACTCAGCCTTCAGAAAGTCACATCAAGGCTCCTCTATTAACTCTTTAACCGTGTTTTTACCAGCGTTTGCCTGAGAAGTAGCTCCCATAATGCTAATTGCTGCTGCCTAGTCTGAAGGAGCGGAAACTCAGAAACCGCAGCTCAGAGGAAGAAACGTCTGAAGGCGGTGCTAGGTCCACCTAGGCATTTTGCAAAGTTGAATGGTTGCCATGGAGATTAAAGGATTTCTCAAACATGCATGAAAAGAATCAAGGCGACACTCCAGTGGTTATAACATCATGTAAACCTCAAAAAAGTGGATTTTACATAATACTGCCCCTTTAAGAATGAATTCTGAAAGCACAGTGCAGTTATTGTGGAGTATTTTTAAAATTTTACAACACAGCTAGCTGCTACGAGAACTCAGAACAGTAGTACTCAATCAAACTTTCATGAGTTATTGCTTCAAATGTCAAATGTGCCTGTCACTTTTTGACATACAAAAACATTATGACGATGTCTACAACATAAAACTGATCACATAAGTTAATTCAGTTGATTATCCATATATTACAGTCGTGTTTCACATTTGTTTTGGTTTTAATTCCCATTTAAGCCAGTTGACTCTAATGAAATACAACTGATTTGTAAAGTATATAGTAGAAAGTAAAGCAAAGCACAAACCAGGAAAGGTTAAATCAGTTTTGACGAAGTCTTACAATATGCAAGCCAGCTCTTTGGAACGGCTTTCTGGTAAAACTCTGCTAGGAAGACAGATTGATAAGTGACTGGTAGTATAAACATTAGGTATTCCATAATCAGGAAGTGAAGTTTCACCCAGCACTGGTTTCCATGGAAGGTCTCCTCACAGACTCGGACCTCGTTTATCTCGAAGATGTAGCAGAAGTGTCTGTTTACCGGGGATTGTTGCGCCCACAGGACCGTGATGAGGTGGACTCTATAGCCTGGGATCTGGGGAAGATGACGTCACAGAATGTGGTAACTCTGGTATCGAAGGGGGGAAATGTCAAGAATCTGTCTGAGAAATTTAAAAAAAAAAAAAAACTTTTTTTCCCTTATTTTTCTTTATTTTAATTCAAACAAGCTGAATAGATCATCAAAGCACAGCCAGCTGCTGCTGGAATTTAGAAAAGAAACAGTTCAAACACACAAGTCTCTTCTTCGGACATCATTGGATTTTTACGACGACTTCATTACATTCTGCTATGTAACAACATTGTGTTGGATAATCACTGCAGCAAGGGACTTTTTGTCATAGTCAGCATGTTTAGCTCATTAGTTGTTTTTATTGCTCTCTAAAAAAAGACTGGTTTCCAATACTGATGATTTATTGTGTCTATAGTCAAAGAGTAAATCCAAAGCAAAGTCAACGTCATTCTGATTTGATCATGTTATACTGATTTCATGTTGCCTTTTTCTATCTTCAGTTATTGTGTTTTCGTGATTTCATATTTTGTGTCTCGGTTTTTATTTAATCTTGTATTGTTTCCTAATCCTCGGGGCTGAGCTGACCACTGCTGTGCAGCACTTTGGTGGAGCTTCTGCTTGTTTAAACTGTTCTAGAAATAAATAATTTAAACTTTGCCTAACTTCAAATTCTTTTGAAGGTAAGCAAAAGCAACTGACTGCAAATTAGTTTGTTCGTTTTTTTTATGTGTGACATCATCTTTCTAATGTTTGATCAGCTGTAGTTTTATTACCATATGGTTTAGGATTGGTTGCCAATTATTTGCTACATTTGGCCCATACAATCCTCTGCTCATTTCCTGTTTTTGTCTTTATTCCTTTTTTTTGTAAGGAAGGAGCGGGGATTGCTCTAAAGCTGATTATATCTGAGCCCCGCTGTGAAGAAAGCAGACAGCCAGAGCTCCGGGCGGGGTAATGGCTCGGGACGGGGCTTTAGGGAGTCAGGGGTATGGAGGGAGATGCAGGGGGAAGAGGGAGGGAACAGGTACGACTAACAAGAACAGGAAGAGATAAGAGGCACGGAGATTAGCGTTGTTAAAGGATTAAGAAAATGTTTGGGGGATATTTTGAGATGCATCTAATTAAGGATTTGGCCCTCTGCAATATGGTGGTGCGGCAAGCATTTATCCCAACCGAAGCAACAACCTGTTTGAGATGTTGGTTATCCTTACGGCTAAAACACATGCCATGTGAAACACAGTTTGAAATGTTTAAGAGTAACCGGTAGAGCTGGTAGAAGAGCAGATCTGATGGTAAAGCTTCACGTTTCCTCCCTCACCAGGATGTCACACCATGGATGGAAGGGTGTCAGCGTATGTTTCTCGGAAACATCTGTATTTATCTTCGATGTATAAGCAACGGAAAGGCAAAAAATAATTGCTTTCCAAGAGATTTGCTGAAAATATTTCAAAGGTGTGACTTTTCGTCAGGTGTAAACAACAGAGGGACTGCTGTTTGTAATTGCTGCTACGAGCCAACAAAAAACCTGCATCAAGTCAGACTTATTTCTCCTGCACTGGCTCTTTTATTGTATTTACTTTCCATGTTTTTAATATTACCTCAGAAGTAGCTCCTCATTTCTTTCTTTCTGACTATACTGAAAGTACCAACTGGCTTAGGTTATATTCTGTTTCAGACCTGAGGTTCAGTCCAAAACCTAAAGCTACAATCGGTGTGTTTTTTTCTGTAAAGTTATTATTTTCTCATAATTCTTTCCCTGAACACCTTTTGTACATTTCTACAACCTTTATTCCCAGTTGCAACTTTGGCTAACCTCAGAGAGCATGAACCCTTTTTTGTTGTTTCTGTCCAACCAGAGCTAAGCTAGCACGTAGCTGCTTGAAAATGAACAAATTTGGAGTTTAGGTTATTTATGAGCTAGTATGTTTAAATTTTGAGCCTTGTAAAGTTCAAGAACATCCACAACAGGTTTTCTATGGGGTTAGAATCCCCAAGCCCATTCCAAAGAAAAATAAAGCTTTAAAATACTAGTTACTAATACTAATAGAAGTTGAATTTGGGTTTTAGACAATGAAAGCAGAGCACCCGAGATGAGTACGTCTAGGTTTTAAGTTATAAATTAGCTTATTTTTGCTAATTGTTATGTTGCTAACTAATAATGGTAATACCAGATGACAATAAGGCATTTCTCTCCATGTTGTATTCATGTAACATATTCAAAACAGAAGTTGTACTTACTATCTGTCTCTGGGTTAATCTAATACGAACCACTAGAAGCGCTAATAAATAGTTTGTACCTGCAGCTTTTTTTTCTTCTATTTTATCGCCGAGTTAACGGCGACATGCGTCTTTCCTGTGGCCCTCCCAGGAGTAAGCTTGGCCGCTAATCAAGAAGACGAAACTGACACGGAGACGTTTCAGATGGAGATCGACAGGGACACCAAGATGTGCACCTTCCGCACCAGCCAAGGTTTCTACTGGGCCCTGGTGGCTCACGGCGGCGTCCAGAGCACCGCCACACAAGTGTGAGTGAACGGCCGCGTGAGGCGTTCAAATGGAGTCTCGATAGAACCGCATAGGTTTTATTTTACACTATTATTAGATGTGAGTGGGCGGGAAACACTAAAACATAGTTTCTGAGCAATTCATTATTTCTTATGTTAAAAATAAAGTCAGTTGGGGAATTATTTTACCTTAAGGGAGGAAATGCAATGACTGATGCTTTCATTATAAACTTGGCATATAATCCTAAATTAATTTCTGCCGAAAAATTTACTTAGGAAATTTTGAGGGGGGTGGGGGGAATCGTGAGCTTGAAAAGTTGAAAATCTGAGAGAGAAAAAAAAACACCAATATTTTGAGATTAAATGCAAAAATTTTCTAGAAAAAACTTGTGGAGCTCAGAAATGTCTTGTTTTTTTTTTCAGAAAATTTCTGACATTAATCCCACAGTTTATGAGTTTTTCTAGCAACCTCATTTTTTCCTATCTATAGTGACCCTAATATGTTGTCGTATGTAACTGTTTTTTTTTACTATGAGAAATAATTAGAGGGATGTTTGTTTTTTTTTGCCCACAGATCTGCAAACACCATGTTTTCAGTGGAATGGCTCAGCCACAAGGTGGCGATAAAAGCAAGTAATGGCAAATACATCTGCACCAAGAAGAATGGCCAGTTACTGGCAGTCAGTGACACCATAGGTGACTACTGCTCTCTTTCCTGCCGGATCTCCTTATCTCTAACCCTCGTTGAGCCGACTTGTTTGGTTTTTTTCCTCCAGGTGAGGATGAGCAGCTCACTCTGAAACTGATCAACCGGCCCATGCTGATCCTGAGAGGGGACAACGGCTTCATCTGCCACCACAGGAACTCCAACACCCTGGACGCCAGCAGATCAGTCTACGACATCTTCACCCTGCAGTACAGCAGTGGAGCCTATCACATTAAAGGTCAAGTCCAGTTTAATACCATAACACATTCAGCAACAAAACAATGCAGAGTGCTTTACATTGTTAAGACATCTTACAGTCATCAATTATGAAACAAGAAATAAGCATTATATTTTGTACATTTATTACTAATCAGAAGTGTCTCTAAACAGGTTGGGTTTTCTGCCTGGATTTTACAGGAACTCAGTGTTTTGGCTGTTTTTGCAGTTTTCTGGAAGTTTGTTCCAGAGTAAGTGTAGCTTAAAAAACTGAATGTTGCAAATCTCCCCCACTCAGCTCCTTCAGACTAGCCGGCAGCAATTAGCAAAGAGTAAACATCTGGTTAAATTGCATCAGCTGAGCTCATTATAAGAGCTACTTCTCAGTGTAATGCTGGTGAAACGTTGTTAAAGGGTTAATAGAGGAGCCATGTTATGACGACTTCCTGAAGGTGGTTTCAGAAAGAGCAGGAGTTTTTAAAGAGACAGAGGTTCAATTTCGAAGTGATAAATTACAAAGTAAAAATTCTTTGTTTGTGATTTTTGTGATTTTTAACTCACAAATCATGTAGCCCAGGGCTCCAGTTTCAACAAGTTAAATTACGAAGTAAAAATTCTTTTAAGTCATATACAGTATAGCATTTTAATAACAACTGAAGGTGAAACTGTTACTTGACAGTACTACAAAATGGCACTCTGTGCCTGGAAAACACATAGTACTGGCCCTTAAAGCTCCCACACAGCAGGTCACCAGTCTGCCCCTCACTGGTTCCTCTGTGCCGTTGCAGGTGTGGATGGGCGGTTCTGGTATGTGAACAGCGGCGGGCTGGTGTGTGCAGACGGCGAGGCTCCGGAGGATTTCACCCTGGAGCTCCTGGAGCGCGGCCGCCTCGCCATCAGAGGGAAAAACGGAAAATACCTACGCGGAGACCAGGGAGGGACGCTGAAGGGAGACGGACTGAGCCTCAGCAGCTCGGCTCTGTGGGAGTTCTAGAGCGAACCAATATGAGACCCAACTGTTCTGCCAGGCTCGGAGATTCACTGAGGAGAGAAGTCTCTAAAGTTTCCTGGTGCTGAAGAAGGGATGGATGTTCAGCTGAAGAAGAGCTGGAGGAAAGACCATGCAGTATGATCAGCCAACAGAAGTATTTTCAAGATCTGTAGCCTCAAAATTAGCCTGAATAAACATTAGTCTGGTGATTTTCTTTTAGATTGTTTTCCAGTAGATACTTGATGCAAGAAGAAATTCATGTCTGAAACTGTAGAAATAAAGGCATTCAGTCATAAGTTGAAATTTTCTCTTGTTTGCCTTCACTTAATGCTATTAAAATCAGGTGCTGACAGATGTAGAAGTTAATCATGGGTACAAAATAAATAAACTAATTTAGGGATTAAGTGATGTATTTCAGGCTGGTATGATCATAACAAACTCCAATGTTTTTTTTTTTCAGAAAAGGAATCTATGAATGCAAGAGCTTCTGTAATTTCAAGTTTCAAAAAATTGCTGAGAAAGCCCACTTATTGTATCCAACAGCAAGCTTCCAGGAGAACTTTGAATATTTGATCACCCTACTTAGTGGAAATGGTAGTTCACATTTAAATCGGTTTGCTTCCTGGCAAAGAACCAGCTTTTAAATCCAGTTCATCCATTTTTGATAAGGCTGAGGTTTGGGCCATATTAATAACCTGCTGTCCATTCCACATGCATTTATAGGCTTTTATTTCACAGTGAAGTTAAATAATTTTGAGTGATCCTCCTTTATCATACCACCCAAATTCTGATCTGATTACAGAAAGTCCAGGACAAATTTACGATTGTGGAGTTTAAAATGTATCACTGGCCAAGTTTCCATTACAAATGCTCGCAAAACTTTGTCAATAGTCCACTAATATAAAAAAAACACAATTTTGCTATTTTCGTTTCCATTGTATATGAAACGTAATTCAAATCAGACGTGATTATCCTCCTGCCACTTCCTGTCTTCTTCTTTGTGGTTTGCGCCAGTGGTAACCATAGTAACATTTGGTTGTGTGTCATGTGACTTGTGTGACGCGATAAAAAGTGTCTCCATTTAAGTTTGGCGAAATAAATCAATTCAATGCGGCCAAAAGAAAACCCAACCTCATCCTGTCGCCAAAGCGTTTTAATCAAATTTATGTTTGAAATGTCAAATTACGCAACCTCACTGAGACACAGAGCGATTCACTTTCAACAGATAACCAGGTTCTATTCATGTTCTCCTTTTGCTGCTCAGCTAACCTGGAAGCTTCATGTTTCTGTTCTCAACACATTTATGGTGTAGACCAGTCAGCGATCAGAACCAAACCTTCCCTCAGAAGAAGAATCATCTCATCTGGATGACTGTAGTCTCCAGTTCCAAGAGACTACAGATCAATCAACCACATGTAAATTAGACGGGATTTATTCCTTTCTCTTCACAATATAGAACAAAGAAAGAGAGTTTGATCACCAAGTCCCACCAAGGCTGACGTTTAAAACTTAACAACAAAAGCAATTCAAACTAGACTGTAAATAAGCCATGCTAAAAACCATGAAAGTGGAGTTCATAAAAATGTATTTAATGTAGATTGCTTTACAAAACCACTCTGTGCTTTTCCCCGTTTTTTTTTTTTTTTTTTTTTTTTTTTTTGCTTTAGTTTATATGAAACCCCAACAGAAAGTAAGACATAACTGAAGAGGAAGGAAAAATAAGCATTGGCTTTTTATGTTTTGTTTTTACCAAATCTTCTGTGGCATTCAGATTCAGTTTCCTTTACTCTGATACCCCTAAATAAAATCAGTGGAAGAGGAAAACCTGCTGAAGGCTGCAGAGGAGACGAGACTTGGGTGGAGGTTCAGCTTCCAATAGGCCGACCAGACATTCACTCAGAGACGGAACGATCAAAGCACGTTCAGGTGTTGGAATGGTCTAGTCAACGACCAGACTTAAATTAATTTGCCAAGACTTGGAAATCTGACTTTCTAGCAAAAAAAAGGAGAAAAGTTTCCATCTCTAGGTGTAAAAAGCTGGTAGAAAAATACAAAGGCACACCACACTTTTCAGTCTTTTCTTATTAATAATAATAATAATAATAATAATAATAATAAAAACAGAAATCAGCTTCTCATTTTTCTTCCAGATTATGCTTCACCTTGTGTTGACATGACACCTAAACTCCAATAAAATATATTGCCTCTGTGGTTCTAAAAGCCAAAGCAGTTCAAAGGGTAGGAATACTTTGTGATCCGAACTTTACAGCCAGGCCCCGAATCCTCTGCTGCCTGAGAGGAACTGCAGCATGAGAACATAATTAGGCAGCTTCATCATCCTCATCCTCAGGTTCTAGAAGGTAGCGCGGGGTCGAAGGTCGGTTGAGTGGGTGTCAGAGGATGAGCAGAGGGCCGTCTCTGAGCTGCTGGTAAACACGCAGGAGGAGCGGCGGGGTCTGCCCAGAGGACACGCCCACACTGCTGGCCTCCCAGACCTGACCTCGCTGCTCCTGACGGCGCAAGAGAGAGAGAGAGAGAGAGAGGGGCCACGCCATTGGTCGCTTTCTGGACATCTCAGGTTTAAGAGTCATACACGTCTCTTGTGTTCTACACAGGATTGAGAATAAAACCCAGTGTTACCTCAGCTTGCTGTAGCGCTAGCCTCAGATCTGTAGTGGGAACCATTCTGGAGGAACCGGCCTTCTGCAGCAGAGTCTGTGTGAGAGAACAGAGCCGTTTGTTCCAAACAGACACAAACAAGGTCAAAATTTGAAAATGCAGGACAGCAAATAGGTTAAATCAGAGGTTCCTAAATTTGTCCATGCCATGGCCTCCCAAACACATTAACCTTTAGCTGCTGACCCCCTCTGCAATCCACAGACAATGCTACGAAGTATGTAAAGAAATGCTGAACTTTACTTGACTTTTTTAGAGGTTGTTATGCTTTAGAAATATAATGGTAAAAGTAAATCTTATTTTTTGTACTTTATTTAGGAGAAAAAAAAATTAGAAATTTGTTTTGTTTTTCAGTTGTTTCTATGTTAATATGTCACCTAAAAACAGTCTTTCATTCACTGTTTCATAATTATTACATTCGTGTAGCATACATGCTGCCTCATGCCTTCTGATTTTAGTTGGCAGTGAGTTCTGTGGTTGAAAATGTTTTCATCAGGTATTTACATTATGCCTATTAATCTGATGTTGCTCATCTTATCCACCAATCCCCTCTTGCGGTAAGAAGATATGTAATATTTTATACTAATCACATTAAATTGGATTTAACCTCCACAGTTCTTGTGGGTTTTCTTGTCAGAAACTTTTCCATTTCTAGCCTCAGAGCAGCTTGATGAATTTGACTGGCAGCCAATCAGAAAGATGATCATTTCAAATTATTTTTTTTTCTGAATTTCTGCTCTGTGGGACAATAAAGGTTGTTTCTATCTTCTATCTCCATATTCAATGTTATTTTAACTTATACTTTATAGCAATGATTGATAAACAGATTACATTTATATTTATACATATATTTGTGGAAAGACTTAAATATTGCTGTTCACATACAACCTCATGTGGAACACAAGGTAGTTCCACAATGTAATACCTCAGTGAGAGAAATAAAAATAAACTCCACACTTTTCAGATTTTTATCTGTAAAAAATATTGAAAAACATTTTCATGGAGGATAAGTTTCACTTTTGTTGATAACTGACACTGAGGAGCATGTTTAACTGTGAGTTAAGATGGGAATCCAAAGACACAAAAACAAACAATCACACAGAATTAAGGATATTGGAGCCGATCGATTGATTAGTGTCTGAATCCTCCACAGGTGATTCTTCCACAAATAACTTGGAGTTACGTTCAACATAACACTGTGGTAAGGTTTATGAAAAACAAGATTTTAGTCCATCTCAACACATTTGGGCGTGACTGTTTGTTGACTCCGGTTGTGTTAAATAGGAGCTGGAACACTTTCATCTGCTTCCTGTCGTCTACCAGGTTAAAGGGAGGAGACAACATCTAAGCTTAAAGTCGTCCTTAACAAGTTCTAGAAAACTCTGACTGGTAGATTTTGAGTAAAAATTTGAGAATAACCTGTAAGCTCCTCTGAGGTTGCTGGTACGTTTAAGAGCGCAGAGTGTGTACCTGAATGCGACGCAGCACGGCGTGGTGCAGGCCGCACACGGCCGCAACTGACGAGCTCTTCACCTGAACCTCCACGATGACCAGGGGTTTCGTCTTCTCCTCTACGTTTACCTGCAGACCAGAAGACGGACGCTCAGGTTACACCAGAAAACGCCAGTCAGAGTAACCGGGTCTCTCCAGTAGAGGGTTCACCTCTTCAGCAGTCAGTTTGACTGTGGCGTTATCCGGTGCACTGCCACAGATCACCGAACTGCTCCCGTCAGTCTTGATTCCTTTGCGCTCCATCTTCACTCCACCACAACCTTCAGACAACAGCCACTCAAGCAAAGAGACACGGGGGCTCCCAGGGGCCAACCCCAAAGCGTCCCTCAGTAACTCTGATGACACACGGACTCTAGCAGAATACTCCTCCGGTCTGGACGCCTGGCCTCCTCTGCACCGGAGCTGCCGTGAGCTTATAAAACCCTGGAGGAGGTCTGCCGGGCTGCTGCTGGACCGGGCCGGAGCCGGCGGGTCGCTGAGCCGCAGGGCGTGCAGCCAGTCCACCGTCAGGGTGTTTAAGGGCAAACTGAAACAGGCGCTCTGCAAGTCCAGAGGGGCCGTCGCCTCCTCCTGTCCCAGAAACCTCCAGAGTGAGAACAGGAGCGAGCAGGTCACGGTAACGGGGAAGGAGGCGTCGCCCGCCGCCGCAACTGGCAGAGACACCTCCACCGACTCCCCCGGGCCGAGACCGCTGAACGGGAAGGAGTAGTTCACAGACGAGGCTTCCCCTCCTGCTTCTAGAGGACAGGACAGAGGAAGGACAGTGACGCTCAGCGTCCAGCCCCGCTCCAGGACGAAAGGACTCAAGTTCTCCAGGACGCATGTCAGGTTCAGGGAATCTCTCTGAAGCAGTCTGCTCCACCGTACCGAACCACGACATCTGACCGGCTTCAAGTCAGACTCTGAACGGTTCGACAGCAGGAAGCTGATGTTCACCACCTGATTCAGCTGCTTCAGGATCTGATTCTTAGATCTGATGATGGTTTTCAGCACTGATGCTCTGAAGGAAAACAGGATGAAACCACTTTAGGTTTGGGAAAGTTGGGACACAAAGTAAAAGATCCTGAAGATACGATTTAAAATATAATTAGAGGGCTATTTAGTTAACAAACTTGGAAAGAGTTTCATTTTCACCCAGTAGCTATGTTTCCATTACAACTGTGCGCAAATCTTTGTCTATATTTTGCTAAAAACCACAATTAAATAAGAAATGAAATTAAAATCACACGTGAATCAGCTGTTCATGCGATAAGAAAATAAAAATTATGGCCGTGATGGATGTAAACAGCTACATTAGATGTATTCATAATTCAGCCATGGTGTTAGCGCTCATTATCTATCAGCCAATCAGAGGAGACGTCGGCGTCTTGTTCAGCTGTTGGAGTGACCAGCTCCCTCATAAGGGAGCGGCTACGTATACGACGGAATTATAATCGGCCATTTTATATTAGAGCTGGGGATTCAACATGTTGGAATTACACACAACTTTTTATGAATTGTGATGTTGTAAGAGGAATGAGCCAGCTGCACATAGTCCAAAAACAAAAAAACAAAACAAAACAAAAAACCCAATAAATGAAATAAACGTCTCCATTGCAGTTTTAAGAAATACATCTTTTTTGCTACGGTTGAAAAACCACCCCATCCTAGCACAAAAACTTTTTATCAAAAAAAGTGAGTTTTTTTCTGAACGTGGTCCCATTAAGCAAATTTATTTTCCTAATTTCAATTTGCGCAGTTTTACTGTAAACGGAAACACAGCTGGTTGAACTCATCTCTGGTTTCACTCATGAATCTAAAACAAACGGACGTCCTTCGGTTGGTGCACCTTTCACAAATGTCCCCAATGGCAGACAGGATGTCCCCGACGCTGCGTCCAACCTGGGAGGAGGGACCCTTGGACAAACTGTCCTCCTGTGTCCTAACAGGGAGACGGATGGACTGCAGCCGCCCTCTGACCGACAGGCTGAGCAGCTGAACTTCACCTGGGGGTGGAGGTCACACATTACCAACCCACGACCTTCAGGACGTCACACAGAACGGTTCAAAGGTTAAATACGATTAAAGACTCTAAAGAACTTAAGATAAAGGCTTCCGAACCAGACAGTCACTTTATTACTATAACAGAAGGTAGTGAATGATTGAAAAGAGGAAGGGTATGAGTCTACAAGTTATTATAAATTAAAATCTACCAGTTTTGCAGGTTTAGAAAGTAAAATTCTTTCTAATTCTTCAATGCAAAGAACTAATGCTCAGCCAAGGTTAGATGGAGAACATATGAACTATAGATGTAACTTTAGCTGAAATTCACAAGACGAGACTAAATGACACAAGGTACGAAGTTCCCAATCACATTTTAACATCACTTTTGAAATTTTGAAATTTAGATCAAATTTATGCTGCAAAACGGCCTGTATCTGATTTATATTTTATCAACTACACACAGTCTGCAGTACATTTACCATTGCCTAGTTGCTGTTGATAGTTGAAGCATATTATACTGCAACTTCATCAGGCGAAGTCAACATGATGGCAACTGGTTATTATTGATGAGATAGGACAGCAACTAATGATTATTTTGACAATTTATTAGTTAATCAGATAAAAAAGTTGACATATTTTGAAGATTTAAACTTAAACTAAGCAGATTTTCATTGGGGCCCCCATAGCAACACGTTAACACCAGATTCTTCCTTCCTAACCAACATACCAACTATCATTCGCATTATTTGCAATAAGCTTACATCATACTGATGTTATTATGGCTGTTGATTTTAAACTTACAGGAGTAGCAAACTAAAAAGCAACAAATATTGTTTTTTTTTGTGGTATTTAAGTGTGACATATTTAAATTATATGAAAGTAATATCAGCTGATAAACGCTACATTAAACAAGTTTGATATCTTATATTTTCCCAACAGAGGCAGCAGCCAACAGCAAGAAGAACTCTACCTATTACATGTGTAATAACTATAAAAATGATATATAAATCATTTTCCATGTGAAACAGCATTTAGTTTGAATTACTCAATGCTATTTTATATATACAAGTTTTATTTATCATGCTAGCTTGGTGCTTTTGGGGCCTCCTGGTGGTGTGGAGTTCCCCAAGCAGCTGCTTGACTCACATCATGTCCAAGTCATTTTTTTGCCAGAAGTCTATTTTTTTTTCCCCTGAATCATCTTTTGACAAAAAATAGATGGTGATTTTTTTTTTTTCAAAAATCACTTTTTGCAAAAATACAAAATAAAAATAAAAATAAAAGACTAAGGACATTTTTAGGAGGTTGATGATATGTCTTGGGCCTGCTCTGCGTGAAACACATTCAATTCTGCGCTGGAAATGTGACAAAACATTCAGGGGGTGTGAATATTTTTGCATGGTACCATGTGAGGTGTTATCCATTCACCTGCAGAGCTGCGTGCAGGCTGGTGCAAAGCCACGACTCCGCTCACATTTAAACTGATGGGTGTGAGGAAGGCAGCAGGGTTGGACCGGGACGCCTCGTCCTCCTTGTCTCCCTGTCTTCCTGCTGTCCCAGAAGAACCGTCCCACAGATCCACCATCAGCAGGTCTGACCCGGTGCTGTAGTAAACACGGCTCTGATCCATACAGGCGCACTCCACAGGACCTGGGACGCACCCCAGGGTAAACCTGGTGCCGCCGCCTCCCTCCAATCCGGCCCTGCCAGCCCTGATCAGAACGGCTCTGCCTTGTTTGCCCAGAGCTATCAAGCACCCTGCGCAACCTGCATCGGTTTCCATGACAGCAGATGCTCCGACAAACACAACCGACTGCTCGAGGCTGTGGAGGATCCGGAGCCTGGATCCCGGAATGCGCAGAGGGAGGAAGGACAAGCGTCCGTCTGGCAGGCCACAGAGCACGACCGGCGATTTGGAGAGCGCCGCTTCTGCCCCAAACAGACGCCTGAAGAGGAGAGGCTGGAGGGGATAGTGGGAACGAGGCGGATGAGGAGGGGAGGAGGCGGGCATCAAGTCGCCAGGATACACACACACCAGCACACATCTGGATTCTGTGTCGCTTTGAACTTTAGGCGAGACCAGCGGCAGAGAGAAGGAGGCGAGCAGGTCGCAGGGGTCGGACTGGGACGTCCGCTGGATTTGATACAGAGTCAGTGACCAGGACGCGTCGGTCCGGCAAAGGGTCAGGAGCACAGAACCAACAACCAGGAGGGACGACACTCTGTCGGCGACGGCAACGAGACACTCAGTAGAGATCTTCAACTCAGTGGGACCAGAACCTGCATCATGGGAGAAACTTTGACCCCCAAACAGATGAAAGGTCAAATCAGATTTACAGACATTAGAGGCGCACCGACAGCAGTTTTCTAGCCGATCACCCATCCTCAAAATGCCAGAGGATTCCCCCAGTGTATTATAAGCCTGGCGGGCCACCAGGCCTTACCTCCTGCTGGTGGACTCCCTAGCGGCCCCTAAAACTAGCAGGGATTCGCAGATTTTTGGGGGAAACCTTGATTGGCCTGATATCCGATTTTGACCAATTCCAATTTTTTTGTCTGAAAGATAGACTTCTGTGTGAACAGTTTACAACTAATTATGATGCATATCTGACATCAAGACATAAAAGCTGGATAAAATGCACATTATAGTTCAGACTGCAGATGCTTTGAAAACATATCCAATACATATCCAAAATAGTTTCTCATGTGTTTCAGATTGGATTTTTTGCGGGTGAAAAGATCGGAATTGGACTGTTTAGATGGGTACGGGTCAAAAATCGACAAAATAATAAATAAAAAATCAGATTTGGGTTGCATTTGCCTGATGAGTGAACATAGTTTATGCTATTGAGTGACAGTAAGTGATTTGTACCTGGGTACCAGCAGCTGGACATTGACGCAGTAAACTCCACTCCAGCATGCCACAAACAGGAGCTGCTCATCATGGCTGACAACAACATCCCTCACAGCAGCAGGCATCTGAAGAACCGCCTGCAACACAGCAACCAAACAGGAAGTAAGAGGAAGGAGTTGTGTTTTCATCAGCTATAATGAAAACACAACATTAGAATATTAAGACCAATAAAAACACACTTAATACATTATGGGAAATGTATTAATGTCCCATAATGTAATGACCGCTGCCTTGTCTGCTGATCCAGCAGACAGGCACACCCCCCACAGAGGGCAAGCTAAAGAAGCAGGCTGGTCACTGTGCTATATTGATGAAAAGTTGACATACTTTCCAGTGGTTGACATTTCTGTTTTTAAAATTTATTTTTATTGGTCTTATGTAATATTAGAATTTTCTAAGAAACGTAATTGTGTTTTTTCATTAGCATCGAAATGATCAAATGCTTATTTCAACAGTTTGTGTGAAATGAATCTATATAGCATATGAAGGACCTTAGGAACTGAATTACAGAAACATAAACTTTCTAGCTTGCATCTGTGAATTAATCACTTCAAACATAAACCTGCTTACCCTGAGTGTTTTCTCCTGCGCAGTGAAGACATAAACCTCCTCACCACCAGTACAGATGAAAACATCCGTCCCAGTTCCACACTTGACCAGCGATGATCCAGATTTTCCTAAAAGGCCGAACTCAGCCCAAGACTCAGCAGCACACCGTCCTTCCATCATGACTACAAAGTTTCATCAAGGCGACACGTTTCCTACACATCTAGTTTATCAGCAGGGTTAGTGGCGAAGAGCTGCAAGTCAACTTTGTGACCAGCTGTTGACAAGAGAAAGACGTCAGAAGTCCCGCGCCTCGTTATTTTAACCAATGACAGTCATGAACTACATTACCCATGATCATTAGACGGAAATGCTATGGAAAAAAAAGACCGAGGGTTTTTCTCTTTTTTCCGCTCTCTCCTCTTGTTTTACTGAAGTTAGAGGCTCCAGAGCGAGTAGGCTAAAAGTATTTTCATTAAGCAGAGAAACAATAAATACAATTAAAAACAAACAATATTGGCACTTAGAAAAATTACCTCACTTATATTCCCACTACACCAGAGCTCTGTATGACACTAGGTGGCGTCCGGTCAACGTGTCGAGCTGTTTAACCACATACGAAGAAGAAGGCAGGCAAGGCCCAATCAAAACAGCCGAAGTGAACATCCGCCGAAATTTGAAAACGCCCTCTAGCTTAGCAGTTGTTAGCAGATAGACTTATGAGCTAAGCTTGTGAAACACATAATGGGCCCGTTGAATGAAAAGGATATCGAGTTCTATTTTTTTGAGAACAGACTTAAAACCTTTCAAGGGTGGCCGTTTGACGAAGACTGCGCGTGCACTCCTGAGAACGTGAGTATGAAATGGTGAAGTACCGCAAACTCCCACTGTTAACATAGTGACCCAAAATAACTTCATATGAAGCTGCAACATGAAACTTTTTGTTTGTTCTTTGGGTCGTTCTAGCTGGAGGTTACATACTATTATTGCTTTAAGTGGCTGGTTTCAAAGATTTTATAAGTAACAACAGCTCACTAAATAGTATATTTTACAGTTAGCTGACGAGACATTTTAAAGCAGCACTACAAATAGACGTTGGAATTTCGGCATGCGCTGCCATTTGTCATGTATATATTTATTTATTCGTTTATTTATTTAGTTAGTTAATAGAAAGTAAAACATTTTAAGTTTCCAATTCATAAAAATAAACAAGAAGGTCCAAAGGGAAAAGTCCTAAAGGTACGAGCTAAGCTTATCACCAACAGAAGTTAGGGTTAGGGTTCAATATGGCTTCTTTAGAAAAAGTATTCACTTCTACCAGTTTGTATATCACTAAATCTTCCACATACGTACACAGATACAACTTCTGTTTGCAATCACAGTTCTTTAGAGAGAATCCCATTCTAACCTTTACCTCTTATTATTATTGGTTTCCACCAACTCTTTTCTACAGAGTAGTGGGTCCCAAATGTAGGAGCACACCTTCCTAAAAGCAGATGTTTCAGTGATAGTCTTGGAACAGTTGAGGTACTAGCTGCACTAGCAAATACACGCAGAAATATGAATTTTTTTGTCTTGGTAGAAATATGTTTTTTATGCCAGACAAGCCTCTGTAATATCCAGGTAAAAGTATTCCTTTGTATCACTAAGTGGGAAAGATAAAACGTTTCTCATTTTAGAAAATTGGAGTCTGGATGAGTGTGGAATATTGAAATGAAAAGCTTGTGGACATGTGTTGTCTCAGTGCTGTCTGTGTGCTCATGTGTTGGTGTAGATGGCCAGAGCTGGTTTTATCCACACGCCGTCAGAGAACAGCCCAGACACGGCCATGTGTTTCTTCTGTCTCAAAGAGCTGGAAGGCTGGGAGCCAGAGGACGACCCAGAGTAAGAACTGCACTTAACTGGGCCACACGTGTCTTGTTACCGTGCTTACAAATACACTGTAACTCTTTTCCAAGTCTGTTAGTATACAATATGTACATTCTTCCTTTCTTTGGCTCTATACAGTAGGAAACCGTTAGCGAATGGAACTAGATAGAGCCAAATACACCTTTACAAACAATCTGAACAAATAAAGGAGCTTGGTTATTTTTCTTTTTTCCCTACTACAAAAAAAAATGGCATCTGGTTGACTGTCATTTTTTTCTAACGTTATTTTTTTCTGCCTTTGAATTTTGAAAAATATGGTATTTGTAATTAGGATTACTGTTACAAAGCTCTGAAAATCAGCCACTGTCCTCCGTTGCTCTGAGAGACTGATAGACCCGCCCAACATGTGTGGTTAACAACTCCTCTTTTACAAATTTAGTGACTTTTTAGACAAAACAAATCGGAATGGGCAGATCAAGCTTTTTAAATATTGGTGATGGACCAGGAATCAGTGCAGCCCATCTTCATCTTAAATGGGACTTCTGTTCAGTTTGGATTACTTTGCCTTTTCTTTTTTTTTGCCATCCAGAACAAGACTTTTTGTATTTAATAGTATGAACCTGTAAATATTTATCATGATTATTAAGGTTGCTCTGTTTTATCAGGAAGGAACACAGATCCCATTCGTCATCCTGCCACTTTATCGCCCTGAAGAAAAAAGTAGAGGAGCTGACCGTGGAAGAATTCTTCAAACTCCAGAAGGAGAGGCACAAATTCGTAGTTGTACGTTCTTCTTCACGGAAGAATTCCTGATTCCAGACTACTGTTCTTGGACCGATGCAGAACTTTGTTTCCTTTCATTCACAGAACAAAACTGGAAACGAGGCCACTGCCAAGTTTGAGGAAGCAGCCAGGCTGAGGCGAGCGGAAATCATTAAGACGGCCATGGGAGAGGAGTGATCCGGGATGAAGAGATGAGCTTTCCCTCACTCTGACGATTTTCTGTTTTTAGCTTCTGTGCTGTTGTGTTCTTATTTCTTGCTCTTGGTGTAGTTTGTACCATGTGCTGGTTCATAGCACTATGAGGTTTTACATTAAACTTTTATTATTTACATGGTTTCATTAATACTTTTCATGCTTTTCTTCGTTGCCATGAAACAGTTTAGTATTGGATTCAGTACCTTGTAAAAGATGATAAATATAAATCATGAAGTAGAGCACAGTGCTTTGCTGTTTTCACATTTTGTTACATTACAGCCTGATTGTAAATTGTATTAAAATGTGATTTCTTGGGTTTTCTGTTTTCGAAGACATGGGTTATTTGTGTGTTAAATTTTGAGGAAAGAGATTCATGTAGTGCAATTTAAAAAAGGGGTGTAATATAAAAAAATGGAGAAACATGAAGTGGTGTGAATACTTTATGGACTGCAACACAGTGGTGAAAGTAATGGGGTACGGCAGGGTACTGCGTACCCCTAAAAGATTTAGCGGTGTTACGCAGTTCCTGCAAGAGAGAGGAACGGCTGTCTGCTGTAAAAAGTCGATGGGTTCACTGCAGCTGCGAGTGATAAGTTTTTCAAGAACAATCTAAAACACGACTTAATCAGTTAACTTTTTTCCCATTTCATATTGTTTCTGAACTGTTCGTGCTTTGCTAGAGGGGCGCAATAACACGTCGGTCGCGGAAAGTTTTGAGTCGATCTCGGCATTAGGTGACAAACTGAACGCCGCCAGGACGCTGAGACCAGCACGTCCTCAAATCAACAAAACGTGTTCAAATTAATGACCCAACAACAATAATAATCTCAGTAATTATTGTTTCAACAAGGTTGCGCAATTCTGTGCGTTTCGGTTCCATTACCAAAATAATCAACCACCGCTGTGTTCAGGGAGGCTTATTAATGATCGCAAAATAAATATCAAGCCTGCAAACCTAATATCGTAACGGACTGAATGTTATGTTTTTAACGTAATCTCTGGTCGGCTTGTGGAGCGCAGGAGGTTGCCATGGCAACGGGTGTGCTTAAATGACAAAGAGAGAGAGAGTAAAAAGGTAGGAGTGGTTTAGAGTTGATCACCTGTTCAGTTGTTTTACCTTCGTTTACCTTTGCTGTGGCTCGTCACAGCCGCTGTAGTTCCTGAACGTTCAATAAACGACAAACTTGGACTAATTATCTTGTTAGTCTGTGAGTATACGTCATTCACAACATCAAACACGGTAAATATGTTTCATTAAGTATTTAACAAACAAATGGCTTCTGTCACGATAACTATGTGAAGTTAAATTGACT